AWMWYGTGAACAGTGGGATTGTGAAGAAATTTAGTGTTAGGTAGGTTAGTACTGATTTTARAAGCAMAACRCTATATTYTTAGTTCTCCTTTTGAAATTGACAGTGTTTAATCTGTTGTTATGTCTGGATTGAAATAGGTCTAGCTGCATGTCCAAAACATTTTTCAACACATAAATAACCGTTTGAATAWATTTAGGTGAGAATGTTGTCTGAATGCCTGTGACTCAGCCGTAGGCCAGCAGGGGGCGAGCGAAGGCATTGAAGAAGCTGTAAAAAAACGTAAACTTCCGKTTTTATGGCCAGTGTGGGTTTCCTGTCTGCAGACAGCAGCAATAAACCTCCACTCAGATTCCAGATTCTGGTGTTGTATGGTCTTCATTCCTTCTACAAATCACTTTATTTAACATCTGTGTTTATCATCTCGATTTCAGTTTATTGAACGCAAGTTTTCTTACAGTACGTTATCYTAAAATTATGCCTAACTTCCATCAACGTGTTGTAGATTTTTTTATAAGCTGATGCTGTGCGTCACGGTGTGACTGCTGGTGACGTCTCATTTTCCTCCATCACGCTGCACAGAAGTTCTGCAGACGTTCCACTAATGTTGCAAATACGTGCTGCAGACGTCCAAACACGTTATAATAAGCTTGTGCAYGTTATGTTTAAGGTAGGGATAATTTACTCATAGGATTTATATCTGTTCAAGTCGTTAGGAACACAGCATGATCACGTCCAAATGAAGGTGTTAAGTGATGCTTTTTTTCCCTCTTCCTCAGCGTGTGCCAGCGTGTTGGGAAAAAAAAAGCATAAGTTGTCCAAAATGTCATAGTGTGACAGGGCCTTAAGAATGAATGATTAAAAAAACATTTTAAATATCATTTAAAATGGTCAAAATAGTTGAAAAACACACTGAGCAAAACAATACACAAGCTAGGCAAATAAGTAAACTTACATTGTTTATTAGGAGGAACTACTTTGTGGAGTAAATTATTATTATTTTTAAAAAAATTTTACCTGCTCTTATGGCCTGGCCACCCCTAAATTGTATAATGATCTTAGATCAGGGGTGGACAATTAATTTTTACTGGGGACCAAATGAGAAACATGAGCTGTGTTAGAGAATTTATATATTTTGATTAGCTATTACTGGTTATTAAGACAAGRATATTCTGTTAATATCTATATAAATATATGAAACTGTGATGYAGGTGTTAAAGGAAAATATTCCTATACAAACAGTAAAAACAAAATCAATCATAACATTTCATTTTTTTTTTAAACATGTCAGTCTTTCCAAACAAATACAATAACTATTTTGCAAAACGACATCAAATTGATACAAAAAGCAATAAGTGCTTTCACTGATTTTCAGTTCATTTCACTTGTTCAGTGAGAAAAATCCAGTCTGTCTTCTTGGGCTTTAACAAGTGCATCAAAATGTGTCTGAATGTCTGAGGTGGTGATTTGAAGAGCAGAGAGGTGATGGTCAGTGATGGAGGTTCATCACTGTGAATGTTCACGTGTGTCTGTGGAATGATGATATAAGAGCTGCTTTGAGTGCTTTATTTGAAGTTTAAAAAAATAAAGGCCACCAGTGGCCCACCCCTGCCTTTGATCTTAGATGATCAGACTGCATTCATCACTTCAATGAATAATAGTCCTTTATTTGAACTACGTCTCCTACATTTATAAAGACTTGCATCACAATAATTCCTCTCTTTCTGTCTTCAGAGGAGCTTTGTTCATGGAGCGAGGAGGAGTGCAGGAACTTTGAGCATGGCTATCGTGTTTATGGGAAAGACTTCCATCTCATTCAGGCTAATAAGGTCGGTGYTCAGGGTACAAGYTATTTAAAAACACACGCRTGGATTTGAGCTCTATTCYGTGTGGGACCTGCTTAATGYGAACATCTTGATAATCYTCCTTGTTACTCCAAGCAAAAGCGAGCGTATTGTTGTCCTTAGGTACGAACACGCTCTGTGGGCGAGTGCGTGGAGTATTACTACATGTGGAAGAAGTCYGAGCGGCACATCGACTTTAACCAACAGACCACCAGGATGAGCCGAAAGAAGTACAGCCTGCAGTCAGAGAACATGTGAGTCCTGCTGGGCGAACAGCAGGAAAATGTTATTAGTTTTTATTAAAACATGTTCTGTGTGCCGTATCAGTATCATCAAATATAACTCAGAGAGCAGACAGTTATCACAGTATATCTATGATCTGCTCTGGATCAAGAAGGTGCTTGCAGGAAGTAATAAATTAGAACATTTTGATAAAACTTAAAAAAAAAAAGAAATCTGTGTGTACTATAGGCAACAAAACCTAGAGTTGAAAGTTTGACATTCGTCCAGTGACGATGTTGTGTGTTTCAGTGAGGATGAAGACCCGGAGGGAGAGGGGGGCGATCTGAAGAGAGGCAACATTTCCTCTGAGATGTTGTCACAGAGCTCTGTGGGAACTGGGCAGCTGGAGTCTCCGTTACCTCCACATGCAAACCTGGATCGAAACAAACAAGGTAACAACAAACTCATCGTCTGTGTCGTAAAGGTCTGAGCTTGGTTTTCATTAATGTTGACAGAAACCACACACTTTCATGTTTGCTCATTTTATCAGTCGTACACAGCATTTTGCTGTCAGTCTTGTTGGGCACACAGATACCTGGACTTTATTTTGATGGATTTCTTATTTTGATCACATAGTTTGATTTGATTTTGACATTACATTTTTCATTCTGTTTTTTTGTTTGAACACATTTTTATGTCTCCACATTTTTGTTTCTCCCACCCCCCTTTTTTGTCACATTTGTCTGGGACTGTTTGTACGTGCATGGATGCCTGTGTGTGTGTGTATGTTTGTGTGTGTGTGTGTGTATGTGTGTGTGTGTGTGTGCATGGTGCATGTTGACATTGTGGTTCAGAAGACGAAGGCCGCTCCAGGCGCAGACGAACGCCCCGCTTTCTCTTAAAGCCATGATCTCGGTCCACAAAGCCCACAGAAAGCAGGCTGGGCCTGCAGGTAAAGTAAATTTATATAAAAAATAATTTTAAATAAAATAAATTAATATAAATCACAATAATTTCTGTTGTTTGTGACTAAAGTTGAGTTAGAGCTGAAAGAACACATTTAACACACACAGTCTCTTAAGAATGTGGTGTTTTCTCTATTTTCCTTTGTCTGTGTTTGAAGTTATTTACAGACACACAAAGTGGATCTGATGTTAACCATYACATCTGTTCAAAACACTGTTTTATATAATGTAAGAAAAGTTACTATTACATTAACTCTTTGTTGTAGAAGCTACAGTATACATCAAATTAATGGCTTACAGAAGTGTCGATCTTTACCAAAAACAGGCATGAAACCTTTTTTAACAAACACAACAAGAACTGACTTTAGTGACCTCCTTTATTATGTTTAAAACTCTTARATCTGGAACTGATACTGTCAACAAAAATCAGGAAATGGTCATGGCTCCATTGTTTTACTGCACACTTCCTTTTAAAYGTTTGTTGTTTGGTAATTAGCAGCTGCACTTGTCTCAGTTTTCAGAAAGAAATCAGAGTAAATCCTGACTTCGTACAATCGCTTCTCACTCTGCAGCAGTCTGATTTTTATTTATTTATTATGTTAGATGTTACATTTTGAAAATTGAACRGATCTGGACAGAAAGAGAAGCCTGCTTAAACACAGTAAAATCATAATTCCCCTTCAAACATGCATTTTATCTACATGAGTCTCTAGAGTTCCAATATAAACCTCTAATCAGTTACAAGTACACACAATGGTACTGATGCTTCTTTGCCATCAGAAATATTGTTTTTTACATGTACTGKGTTGTTTTTATGAGACTGGATGGTCTTTCTGTTATTTGGCACTCAGGACCTGATATCTGCATTTCTCTCAAAATAAGGTGAATCATGGACCACAGAATAGGTGTCCACTGTCTCAACATTCATCAGAGATGAGTTTGTGCCCAGAGCGATTTCCACAGTATTATTA